GATTTAATTTAACAGATGCTCTCAGCGAAATTTCATAACCGTTCAGAGCCCAGAATAATACATCTGTATATCCTAGTTAGCCTGCATGCTAACAAGCATGTTATGAGCTTATAGCAAAAATAACGAAACAGATCAGCAATACGAAATAATTTCCTTAACCATCACTGATATTTAGATTCACCTAGGTTTAAAATACCTAGGTAGTGCGTTAGTAGACTGACACGGGTACTTGACAGCGTTGATAAATACGTTAATTCTAGTCTCTTGTGGCAGTATTTGTTTTTAAAGGCACGGGTTTTACGTATTAGATTTATGAATACACTGTAATGCTCAAATATTTCTGTCTTTAATAAACAGGGGGTAGAGGGAGCCACCGCGGCTGCGCATGCGCTCTCTCTTCCAGCAGAGGCGTACGGAAATGATGTGAGTTGGGATGTTTTGATATTTGCAAATTAATAAGAAATGGCAAACATTGAGCTTATTTTCTTAAAAGTATCAACATTTTAAAACGCCAACAATGTTTTATTTTTGATATCAGGCCCAGTTGGAAGTAATGTGGGCTATGAAAGCCTACAATCACGCAGAAGTTTACTATAATGTAAGTGAATGAATGTCACAATCTACCCTGTCATTTGAATATCCAGCTTCACTGACGGTTTTATTCCTCTACAGCTTATTTCCTCAGTTGATCCCAAACTTCTAAAACTAACAAAATCCGACGAGCAGATATATACTAAGTTCCGGGAAGCGTTTCCTGACCTCAGTATTGAAGTTCTGGACCCGGAGCTGCTGAAGTCAGCAGACGCTAAAGAGGTGCGTGACACCACGCTCGCGTTTGGGAAGCGTTTAATGTTAGATTTCACTCATGGCGAGTCGGTCAAGCTCTTTCCGTTTTTTTTTTCCAGAAATGGAGGCCCTTTTGTAACCAGTTTGAAGGAGTTGTAGAGGACTTCAACTATGGTACATTATTACGTCTAGACTGTCAGAAGGACTACACGGAGGTGAACACGATATTCGGTATGTCATGCTACACGTGCACTCCTTTTAGTAGTTTACACACATCATACAAGTGCACAGGAAACAGATCAAGAACTTGTCAATGAAAAAAAGCCTGATTTCCCCCTCCGTTTTAATTTCAGCGACCAGGATCCAGTTTTACGCCATTGAGATTGCGAGAAACAGAGAAGGATATAATGACTCTGTCCACAAAGCCAGTTCAAAACCCAAACAACAGAAAAAAGATGAGTTAATCATAACAGCTTAATATTTCAAGTGACCTTCTTGGTGTAGAGATCTTTCTACACATAAAGCTCAACAGTAGAGAAACAGTTATACATGTCCTACTTATTTTTTCCCCCCATATGTAAATGTAAGAGTTGCTTTTCTCATTTGTACGCAAAAGTTAGATGGTTATTCAGTTATGATTTTCCTGCAATGTCTGGCACCTTTTGTTTGTAATAAATAACAGTACATATTTTCCCCTGAAAAACTGCTGCTGTACTGTGTGAATAGTTTGTATTGTAATTAGGATTGCCATGACTTGAAATACGAATTGCATTTGCAACCAGTTTTTTTTATATATGTTTGAGTGAAACAGGATTTTCAGCAAAGTATAAAAATTAAAAACCAAAATAGACCTGAATACAATTTTTTTGGACTGCTCTCCTTCTTAAACACAGGATTTTGATGGGATGCGGAGGCTCAAGTTCAAAGCTCACCCTTGAGAACATCCTGATGTATCCCAATGCTGACTTTTTAAAAATTTTATCATTATTGGCATTTTTACTGCATCACCAGGCATTAAATTACTGCTACACAGATTATTCTAAGAGTATGTTCCATCCAATAAAACACTGAGCAGATTCCATTCACTACAGACCTCTATGACTTTGATTTACAGGAAATTCCAGATTTTCTATGACCATGGGAACCCTGCTGATTATAAGAATAGGCATGTTTATTACAAAAAGGGTCAAATTGGACTGTTGACTTAAAAAATGTTTGATCTAATGTTGCTATCACAAAATGTGCACATACTAGTACAAACCAATGATATTTATTTTGCAGTCACAATGCTTACACTATATGTAGCAGACATCCAAACAAACAATCAAACAATTCAACCAGCTAACCTTATCACTCAATGGACCCAACACACAGTCGCCAAAAAACACATTCACATCAGGGAACCAAGAAAAGAAAGTGAACATCCATGAGTGTTGGACATGGTTAAGAGATGAGCTAGTTCTTCACAAACAGTTAGCAGCAACATCTGTTGAGTAGCACAAGTTGCTAATATACTCCATTCGGCCTCTTGTGTTTAAATCTGCCATATTCTGACGCGTTTAAAAATAAAACTGGAATCCAGAGGTACAACGGGGAAAAAAGAAAAAAAAAAAACGGGGTTAAAGCTAGAGACAACTGTCGAAAGTGATCCTGTCATGATGACTCGAGTACCAGGGTCTTTTTTTTTTTTTTTTAAGGACACGGCTACATTCTATAGGCTCTACTACCGAAGAACGCCAGATCAACAATAAAGCCACGAGAGACTGGAAGTCTGTGAGATTAAAAAGCAGGGAAAACAGTTTGACGAAAGCTCAGAGAGCAACTTCACCACAACCAAGTCACTTTATCTAATCAAATCCACAGACGATATGATCGAACCCTTCAGAGACAAAAGGGGAAAGGTTACGCGTGCGTTCTCCAATGAATTTCACACGAGGACGGGGTCGTTTTAGGACCATTCCCAGGCCAGCAGTAAGCAGATCTAAGAACATCCTCGGTGACGGAGGTGGTGGGGATGTTGACGCAAGACGGACTTCATCATGCCCAAGATTTGAGGGAAACGGTATTCCTTCTGAAAACGTTAACGCAAGATGCTTGTGTATTTACAGAGCTCCCGTTTGCGTTCCATAGAGTCAATTCGAAGGGGGAAAAATAATAAAATGTACAACTTGTGATCCTATTCAACGTTTCATCCCGCCCCTTCTGCGGACAGCTGTCAATCCCAGCACTCACGCCTCAATCCCACATTGTCACCCAGATATAAACGACTCTCCATACAGACAAACCCACACTTCAGCACAGTTGCACTAACTTACTAGACTGTAAAAAGTTTTCAATCGCACTCAATATTTGTCTTAAATTGTAATCATTATAAACATTGTTGAAAATGTTATGAAAAAAATGTACACTTTTTTTTCCTTATGTGTTTCTATACAAGGCAGGCAAAAGCAGAGCACTATGTATATCAGCTCATCCTAACCCTTCCTCCCACAGACATGCTCTCCAACACACTCACGCTCACACACACACACACACGGACGCCCACTTCCCATCGTCCCTAAGAGTGGTTCGGGTGTGCCGCCCACTCTAGAGTCCACACTGGTGCCGTCCCACACCCCAAACCCATTCCCAACCATTCCCCAGCCGTACCCTCTTCTCTCTCTTTGGACTTTGAGCCCCAAATGACAAGAGAATGGTCAAGGAGAATGACTTCTAGAAACTGGCTTTAAAATATTTATATATTTATATGTGTATATATATATATATTTATATATATAAAAAGGGGTGGGGGGAGGAGGTGTGAAGGGAGAGAGGTAATTGGGTATTGTTAGGGACTGGGGAGTGGGAGGTGCAGGCTTGCGCAGCGGTGGTCCCCCGGCAGCCGGGCCAGGGGCAGGAGGGAGTACGGGCCGGGGCTGGGCCACGTGGGCAGGGCCTGGTGCTCTATGGAATGTCAGCTCATCATATCGTTGCTGTTTACCCCGTATGTGGAATTCTTCATGGAGTCATTGACTTCTCTTCTAAATACTGAAAGATTCTGTGTAAACCTGCGAAAAAAAAGAAAAAAAGTTAGAATCTATACTATATATTACACTAGTGTTAATCGAGACGATAATAAGGTCATGAAACTATAGCTGAGACTAAATGAACATGCAATATTGTTGACGAAAAAAGATGAGACTAAAATGTAGTTAAAGAACAAAAACTTTACCAAAACATTTCAGACAGATATCGAGATCGAATCCCCCAATAAGAGCTTTTCTGTTAAACGTATACATTACTCTGCCCGGCTTTTTGCTCTATGCAATCTGGCAACCATTCATACGCGCTCTGTCTGCGGAGGCACCGTGATCTGAACACATGACATATAGTACTGTAGAAGTAAGCTGGAGTTCAGCGATCTCCATTTGAGGTATTCTGCTTAAATGAAAGCGTCATTCAGCCAGTCTGTGCTCTGTCATGGATCTCGACTGTATTGTTTGCGATAGCAGGGCTCGCAAAATTTCAAAATCCCTGGTAGCCCTTCGGGCAGGTACTCTTCAGATTTTGGTAGCCCGAAAATTTAACTAGCCCAAATAAAGCTTTTCTGTTAAACGTATACATTACTCTGCCCGGCTTTTTGCTCTATGCAATCTGGCAACCATTCATACGCGCTCTGTCTGCGGAGGCACCGTGATCTGAACACATGACATATAGTACTGTAGAAGTAAGCTGGAGTTCAGCGATCTCCATTTGAGGTATTCTGCTTAAATGAAAGCGTCATTCAGCCAGTCTGTGCTCTGTCATGGATCTCGACTGTATTGTTTGCGATAGCAGGGCTCGCAAAATTTCAAAATCCCTGGTAGCCCTTCGGGCAGGTACTCTTCAGATTTTGGTAGCCCGAAAATTTAACTAGCCCAAATAAAATAAACATAGAATGCATGCATACGAGTCGATATTTATTCATTTGTGCTTATTGGTGTAAGAGCAACTTCTGATGAAATGAAATACATTTTCCAAATGACAACAATCATTGCAATTAAAATTGAGCAAAAAAAATAAAAATAAAAATATATATAAATATATATATATATAAAATAATTTTTAGTATTTAAAAAAATAATAATAATAATTTTAAACTGCTTTAAGCTATTTAAAAGTGAAGGAAAGCGAGGAAAAGAGGGAAAATTCAAACGAACTAAAAACGAACAATTGCTTTACTCCGAATTGCCGCTATTTCAAAGTGAAAGTAAAATGCGCACGGTGCTTTAAGCTATTTAAAAGTGAAGGAAAGCGAGGAAAAGAGGGAACGCCCCGCCCCCGCGGTGATACCGGTATTACCAGTGTTGTCACACGTCGATTAACCGGTGAGAAAATTTCCTCACAGTCACAACCCTAACACACACAAAAATCATTATCATGATGAGAAGGTCCTTACCAAGTGCTGTGAGCCCCTCTGATATGGAGGACAGGATGTACATGACCACATGAGGCTCCAGGCTGGCGATGAAGTTCATATGGTCTTGGGTTAGCACCTCCAGAAGAGAGTAGAAAGACTGACTAAGCTTTGGATAGTCCTGCAAGAACAAGAACAAACCAACCAAAAATCAACCAATATGAATGCTGAAGGACGCAATCCTAAAGCTGACAGCTGACGATTTTTACCAGCAGGTCACTATGAGGGATGGACAAGAGCAGTTTAATAAAGGTCTGCAGGGCATTGTCCAAGGCGTCATCGCCGTACAGACGGAAGACGCCGAAGTTGACATAGTTGCCACTTAATACGGCTTTCAGCATGGAGAAACAAATGGAGATTCCCTTCAGTTTCAGCGCGTACATCTGATCTTTTGGCACCTCACCCAGCGTCAGAATCCGATTCCCTTTCAGTGGAAAAATGACATTACTATTATGATGATAATTCAATTTAAGTTTTTAATATTTAATAAAGCTACACCATACCAGAGGAACAGTTCAATGAAACATGAAAACTGGGTTATTATAGGCGAGTTTGTACCATATGTTGTAATCATCTTGCTGGTCTCCCTGAACAGCAGGATTCCATTCGGTGACGACACATCAAACTGTAATCTCTGTGACCTTCATGTAAAAACATAAAAAACCCATACTTTAAGTTAGAGAACATACATAAATTTAAAACTCAGCTCTCAGAGACATGTGCAAGATGTAACATTGCGTACCTGTTGTGGACGAGCTCAGCCATGAGTTTGAGGACTGGTGTGGTGCAGGCAGGTACATGGTACCAGAGCTCTATTGCCCTCTGTAAGATGGGCATGTAAGAGGGGTAACTAAGATCTGTTAAGGAGCACATTAAAATTGGCATTCAATCTGAATTGACCTAAGAGACTAATTTTATAGCATTTACTTATTATTTTCTTACATTTTTTTTAACAAACTTATAA